ACCTGGCATCTCACCCAGGCAGCCTAGGATCTTAGCTCTGCAAACTGTCCTAGTGCTTGAGGAAAGAAGTTGAAGGAGAGCAGATAGCAGCAGATAATTTTATCCTAATGTGTAAGGAATTGGTGAAACATCATAGCTGCCGTGTTTCATGTCCCGCCCACACGCCTGGTTCTATGCTAAGCAGTGTCAATACCTTATTTTACTGTCTTCAAAAAGCCCTGTGAGGATTGATTTTCCTCATTTTATAAGTGACGCGTTTGAGAGCCCACTAAGTGAGGTAACTTGCTGCTGAGGGTCATGTGAAAGCAGTAATTATGGTTGATTGTGTCAATTTGAGCAGTTTAAAAGTTAACTAAGAGACTCAGCAGGGATCCAGGGTTCTTAAATTATAGGTATCCTAGTCCTGGGCAAGAGGAGGGCAAGGAGATCCTGTGAGTGCTACACCTCGGGAGTAGGGGCAGGGGGAGGGTGCTGTGTGCAATATATGTGAGGAAAAGAGCTTGCTCTTCCCTTTTGTGCTGGCTGCTGCCATGAAGTGTTGCCCCTTCACCATGCCACCGTGCCGTAGAGCTGGCTGATTATGGACTGAAACCTCCACAAATAGTGAGCTAAGTAAACCGTTGCTTCCCTCATTTTGGATATTGAGTATTTTATCTCAGCAGTGAGAGCAAAGTAACCAAGGCAGTGTAGAGCTGAATGGTGAGGCACAGGGCTGCTTCCTTGGGGGACCGTGTGATGAACCAAGGCTGCTGGGCTGCGTCCTGCCTCAGCAGAGTGTGCACTCACCTAGGGGAGCTGTTTCTATGCAAAGTGTCAAGCAAGGAGAGCTAGCAGGAAGCTTTGTGGAGAATATTAAAATAGAGCATAAAACTTTCCTGTCCATTTTTTAAAAAAATCTGTCAAGCATCTCTTATATTATGCTCCAGGGTATGATATCATCCCAAACATTTCATATTCTGATATAATCAGGTTTTATCTGTAATTGAAAGAGATTGTAGCTGGGATAACTTTTTGCTTAGGATGTTTAAATTCTAGAGCAAAGATGCCATTTTTGTACAGAGAAAGAAATCTCATCACAGTATGTATTCAACCAGAATTAGGGTAATGGAATTTTTAACCCTAAGGAAAGAAAAAGAAAGATTGCCCAATGGAGAAAACAGTTTTTATAGTAACGTATAAGAAAAACAAGGCTCTGGAGTTAACATCTTCATTCCCGACCTTCTCAGTGAAGGATAATTTGCAGATAAGATTATGGCGTGAGAAGGCACGCTTCTTTTAATTCCATAGAACGAGGCTGTGTTCTTTATTCTTGAGAAACACAAGTGTAAAAATTAAAGAGTAACTGAATTTAATTATAGGCTTTGGTATCTGGAGGCCTTGTTCTATGAAGCCCTCTGAAGTCGGGCTTCTCTTTGTTTCAGTGGCTATAATAGGAGAGCCTGGCTGCGTGGATATAAATAATATACTGTTCAGAGCTCAGGCATGCCAGCTCATAGCATGTTCCCAAGAATGCCCTTGTTTTGTTTTGTTTTGTTTTGTTTTGTTTTGTTTTGTTAATATTGACAGATTCCACATGTCTAGGTGCCCAGTTAGGATTCTGCTCTGTCCACCCATCTGTTCCCAGTGCCTGTTGTAATGGACTGCAGACGGGCCCCTTTCCCCTCACCACGCTAGCTACAGGAAACAGCATATGGAACACAGGCGTCCTGACAATTACTTCATTTCAAAGACTTCGCAGAATCACTTAACACACTCAATGAGCAGTTCTTGTAGCGTCCTTCATTTGAATGGTTTGGTAGAAATAGGTGTCCATGTTTGCATGTGCTCAGATTTATGTGGGTCCAGTTTCATGAAATGTCATGAGTTAAAATTAGAAAAGTGAGAACTGAGCATGCTCTAGTAAAGTGGCATGTATAAGAGCACATAGCTTCCATTTTCTCAATCATCAAACTGTATAGATAGAAAAGCCACAATAATTGATTGAAGGTTAATTTTTTTTGACTCTAGAACCTGCTAAATTTAAGTTATATCACAGCAATCTATGCTTGCTCCTAATCAATATTAGTAGCTAGCCACCAACAAGCAGCTTTTTCTGTTGGCCATAGTGCTACCTGCTTTAGACTTTATGAGTTTGAAGAATATTGCAAGGGCTGTTCAAAACTATGGCATGTTTAAATTTAAAAAGTTATAGGAAAACATGCACTGCCATTAATCTCCTTCAAAATACTTCCGCATCGCTTTAAACATACTCGCCCATTGCGTTTGCTGCTTCCCGCAGCAGTTATCAGAGTCCTCTTTCATGAGTGTTTTTATGAGATGTAATTTAAAAATACAGTGATTTCTGCGCCAAGTGCCATCTATCGGAAAGTTGGACTTGAAAAACCATTATGGTGTGTTCTCATCCAGCTTATCACTGGACCTGCCATTGAGTGACTTCTGGTTCTTCCCCAAAATGACCATGAAGTACGGGGATGTAGCTCAGTGGTGGAGTGCTTGCCCCACATGCATAAGACCCTGTGTTCAATCCCCAGGACCACCAGAAAAAAAAAAAACAAGCCAAGGCAAAACAAAAACCTCAAGGTCATGAAAACTACATGTGTCAAATTAGTTCTGGACATTGTGGCAGCCTCAACAGTGCAGCTAATGACACTCACAAAGGAGTAATTCCAGAGCTGCTTCGGAGCCCTGAGAGTGGTGGGCTGAGGCTGCTGGAAGTGAGGGGAGTATTTGGAGGAGAACTGATGGCAGTGGATCCTTTACTGTAAAAGTGTTATAACCGTAAGCATGGTTTCTGATTACACTTAGCATTTACAGTTTACCATTAAACAAGCTGGGATGTTCATGTGTTAATTTTAGCATACAACAACCTGATTTTAACAAGTTGTAATTACCAAATATGACTTCAGCACTGTTTCTCTAGGGAAAACAAAACCTTCTATCTATGTCTCTACTAATGACCTTGGTCCAGTTTTACCGGGTCCTAGACCTCCAACTCCCAAATGAGTGTACTGCGAAGACTTAAATAAATGAGGCAAGTGGTATGATTTTAGGGCTCCAGGAGGGTCAAGCCCTTTAACTGAGTTCGAGATTCTGAGGGCTAAGCCAAAGACTTCTCTGGGCCACCCATATTTATTTAGGTCCAAACAAAGAGCAGGGAAATTGAGGAAAGTGTAGGAAGTGAGCAGGACCTTGGGAGTCATTTCAAAGACTTCTCCAATTAGTAAATTATGCTAATTTAGGAGAACTGTCTTCTTTCCAGGATGACATTTATGGTGGAGTGAGACTGCAGGAGTGAAATGCCTGTAGCTGCATCTCTATCTACTTAATTGATGTTTGAGCCATGGTGTCTTCAGCTGTGGCCTTATCTTGCCCTTTGAGATATCTCTGACCTCACAGGCCATTACAGGGCTCATCCAGGACCAGTGATTCATAAAGGTTCACTTACTATGAATCAGCTCCTGTCGCCAGGCAAGGGGCCTAGGCCTAGGACAGACTCACAGATAACATAGTAAGCCAATGAGTTAATTTTAAATCCTGCTCAGAGCCACTTCTCTAGCACAGTTTATCAGTGGAAGTCTTATCTTGGCTTTTACCTTAGCTCATCTCCTACTTTCTGTGGAGTAAGGACTTCGCTATAGTCATTGATCTAATATTAAACTAAAAATGCCAGAGATGCCCTAAATGGGACAGATTCACTAAAATCCCCCTTCAGAGTTTCTGAATTTCTTTAAAATGTATCTTCATTGCTTAATAACTGATTCTTCTTCGTTCTCAAATGAACACAGATAGTCCTTAGTAGTTGCAAGGTTTTTCGTATAAACTCAGCCAAGGAACTCATGTTCAAGTGAAATTTCACATTTGCTGCTGGAAATGATCTTTGTTTAAAAGTCATATTTTTGCATGCAAACTGTGTCAGTGTCATAGGGTTACATTATCATAATTTCACATGGAGAAAAAGCCAGTGCCTTCATAATTAAAATTATGGAGCTTTTAGATTTTATTGGAACATTTTGTTTTAGATTTATTTTTCTTGTTCTTAAAAGCCTGAGCTGGGTCAAAATGTTATGAAATACCAAAGTGATATCATGGCTTAGAGAAAATAGTGAACTAAGGTTCATTTTGGATATTTTGAATGCTAAGAATGGATGCATTCAGCTGAAAATTTCCATTCTGTGCAGCCAATTTCTCTTCTCGTTTTTCTTTTCTTCTTTGTGTGTGTCTGCGTTTTTGTTTCATTTTTGTTTTGTTTCTTTCTCCTTAACGAAGGGTTCACTAAGTTGCTAAATTGCCTGGACTGGGCTCTTGAATTTATAATCCTCCTATCTCAGTGTTCCAGAGAGCTGGGATTATAGGTCTGCACCACCATACCCAGCTTCTTTCTTTAACATTAAAAAGCCACTTTTGTTCCTGGCTTAAAGCTCTGAATTAAGATTTTTAGTAAGTCCACTCAGCTTTACAGCATCCCTCACATGGTATTACAGGTCAAAAAGAGGTGGAACTACTTCAGCCAGTGGTTTTGACCCTAGAATTGAGATTGATTCCCATGGGCTCGTCTCAACTTCAACCTCAATTTTGGGGCTGAGAGATACAAAGTCACTCAGTCAAGTGGAGACTTTGAAAACATTTTTCTTTCTTTAAGATAAAGTTCGCCAAAGAGTACAAATAATATTTCTCTCTGTCTCTTTATTTTGTGGGTACCAGGAGTTAAGCTCAGGACCTCGCACTTGCCAGGCAGGTGCTGCGCTGCTGAGCTATGTGCCTAGCCCTATTCTTAATTTTAAAATTTACTTTCTTAGTAGCAATCAAAAATTGATAATGAGGAAAGTGGACCTTCACGCATGTTATTAATATTAATGGCTTTGTGGTAGGACTAAAGATCCTTTCTAGCATTTTAGTGGTACTGTTTGTTTTTAACTCAACAAAACAGTTGTTAAGATTTCAGGGGTAAACTATTTTTTAAATGCTTCTCTAACCAAATCCTGAAACACCTGTTTTTTCAGAGACCAGCACACTGATGACGTCAAAGAAGACTCTGCAGAGAAAACAGAAAGTGAAAAGAGGCCACCACCAGAAGCCAGAGGTAGCCCTGATATTCTCATTATCAATGGGTATTAATATTCGTATTCAGTAATCACAAGCAGGACTACAAGGAGATGTAGCTAGCAGTAGAGTGTTTGCCAACAACCTGGCAGTGCTAAATAAATAAAAGAGAAACTGAATTGTAACACAGCAGTCACACTGACATTAAAGATGAGCTTCATTTGCTTGGCTTATTCTTTACTGCAGGCCATAACATTTTATTGTTAAGGATAAATAGAGTGTATAATTCATAATGATACAGATTCACCCATTGCTTCTGTTAGCGGTGTCTTTCATCTATCAGGACAACATTCTATAAAGTTTAGTAAGACTTTGTTGTCTTTGGCTTTTCTTCAGTATTGTTGATGTAATTTGCTTCCTATGTTTAAGACTGAGTTTGGTTATATTCTGAAATCGAAAGAGAATATGGTTTTCAATACCACAAAAATGAAGGGAAAATCATTTGAACCAATGTTTTAAGTTGTCCTGGAGAAACTAATTTGTCTCATGTCTGTGTTTAAAAAAATAAAACTGATTTAATTAAGCAGTGGTTAATTAAATACTGGTTAGATTGTCTTTGTAACTCAAACATAACTGTGTGATTATTATATAAGATGTCAGTCTGATTATCAGCTTAATGATTATTTCTGTAGCTTTGCTTTTCATGTGTATTTTCATTTGGATTATTCTAGAAGATTTGAGAACAGCACCGAATGACTGCCTGGCTGCAATGACTTATTCATAATCGTTGCTTTCTGTATCTGACTGTCCTAAAGCAGTGATTAATGACTCATCTAACAGTTACGTTCAGTGTGGTCCTCATCAGGCTGCCAGGTGTTTGGTGTAGCACTGTGGACCCCACAGGCAGCGTGGTTTAATCCTTCCCCGGCCACATCCCAGCTGTGCAGTCCTGACCATGCCACTGAACGCCTCCATGTGCTTCTGTCTGTCCGGAAGAAGGATGCGATTGCTTGCTTGAAACAGTGCTTTCCCTGTAGTATGTGGCCATTTTAAAAGGAGGAAGAATGTTTAATTCTCAGAGGTGTAATCATCAGGGCTTCCGCCGTCATCGTGAACATTAGTTCCCAAGAGTGGTGAAGGTCGTGATCTTCTTTCAGGTCTCAGCTCTTCCACGCACGAACCATGTAGCTGTGCCTCAGTTTTCTCTTGTGGGAAGTTGATGTGGTCCTAGGATCCCACTGGTGGCTCCTCCTGAAGATTAAATGCATCTGTGGTTGAAGTGTCTCCTATCATGAGCAGCAGTAGTACCCTGAAAGGTGTATTGAATTGTACATTGGTGTGTGACCATTGAAGACCTAGATACAGTCAGAATAAAGTTTTGTAGGCTCAGAACTGTTGGGCAGAAATAATGATTTAATAGTATTTTGATTTGATTAGCAGTACATCTACATTTTTATTTGTCAAAGTAATTTTGATATTTTTTCTTGAAAATTGTCTAATGGAGAATTTCATATTTAACTTTGAGGTACATGATTATCTCATTTTTAGTAGTTTCTTATTTTTTTTAGTGTTGCCTGAGCTTTCTTACAGATGTAAACTATAGGCTTTACAGGTAAGAAAAATAAGTTAAAAATAACTTATTTTTCTTACCTGTAAAGCCTATAGTTTACATCTGTATTTTACCATCTTGCTTTTTATTGGTGAAAGGGAGCCTTATAAAATAAGTTGATTTGAAAACTGCACATACGTTTTTAGGTGAGATTGGCCTATGATTTTTTCCTTTATTATCTCATCCAGTTTTAGGCCCCTAGAATTAAGTTGGTAACTTTTCTTCTTTTTTATATTTTTAAAATTTCTTAATAAGACTTTCATAGTCTATAGTGAAATTATGTTGTTTTCTGGACTTCAAATACTAGCTTTCTTAGCTTTAGAGTTCCTTCTGTTTTTTGAAATAAATGCATTCTTTGCAGAGTCATTTTGTACAGCAGAGATTTGGACTTGCCTTTCTCAGCTTCCTGTCTGGTGGTGTGTTGGTCGTGGGCACCTGAACCCCAGGGGCTCTCGGTCTCAGTCAGGTCTTGGGGTTTGAGGATCTGCATCCTGTGGTGACAGTAACCCCGGGTGGCTCAGACACTAATCACGGTGACCTTCTGTCTCTCGCAGAGCCATGAGTGCCCGCCTTAGACAGGGCTCCCTGAAAGCAGATGCAGAGTCCTGGGGCAGGTGAGAATTCCTGGGGACAGTGAGGGAGTGAGAGCCAGGGATGTGCAGCATGAAAAGGTGACGTGACATCGTCATTACAGTGGAGAGCTGGGCAGGCACCACACCGTGCTTCGGAGCTGTCCCAAGGTCAGGAATGGGAGCTGGGGCTGCCTGTCTTGGAGTCACCTCAGGCATTGACTGGGGCGGTAGTGCATATTCTTGGCCAGGGAGGTGGAGGATAGTTGTGGAAGAGGGGGCTGCCCAGCCCTCGCATTCCGAGGTGGGGGAATGAGCATCTTAGTTCTGCAGGGTCAGCCGAGCCACCTGCCTGCGTATCCACTGCCTCCCACTAGTTGTAGGACTTCTGTTTTTTGCCTTTAAGAAAAATCAAGCAGAAAACAACAGAAGAATATCATTTCACTCGTCTTGGGTTAGGCCTGCCAAATCAAATCCAGTCTTTTGGCTTTTAAAAAAAAATGAACCTGGCTGTTCAATGTTCTTCCACAGTTGGTGCCTGGAAGCTAATTCATAGTCTTGATTCTTTTAAGACCCCGGTTGTCTTTAGTTCTAGAAAGCTGCCTTTAGTTATAGTTTAGATTTTTACTGATTCTGGTCCATTTAAAACTTAACTCCTTGACTAGTCAGACCTATTGTTTTGGGGTTGAAGCCAAGCTTCAGTGTTGAATATCAACGAGCCATGGCCAGTGCTTCCCTGGCCAAGCAGTGAACTGTGTTAGCTCTGGAGCCGGGTCCCTTCTGGGTTTCCCTGAGACTCTGGGTCTCAGGCACCTCATGAGGTCACAGCTGTGGGATGGGGAGGTGACTGTCTCCAGCCTATTATTTTCAGAGCATATACACATTGTGATATCACAGATACGCTTCCCAAGTGGCAATAGCTCAGTTAACCTCTTGTTCTGTCAGATCTGCTGTTTACTGCGTTTTTTACACAGATTTTCCTGACAATGTGTTTTATCTTCCTGTAATGTACTACATGGGCTTGTGCTCTTCTCAGAGATTGCTTTCCCTTTTGTAGAGGTGACATCCCCTGTGGCTTAGTGAGATCATGAGACACTCCTGTTGATAAAGTGGGGCGCCTCTTCCAGTGCTTTGTGGAACATTCTACCAGAAGCCCCAGGGTAATCATCTTCTCTTTTATCATTTTTGAGTCCAAAGCAAGTCCCCCATGTCTTTTATGAAGACCACTTAAGAATTCTTGTCCTGGCAGAATTCTTTGGGATGGAAGGCTGAAGGCCACGGAGGTGACCACTCTGCGAAGCTGCTGTCTGGAGCCCAGAGGGTGCTTAGCAGTGTTTATTCAACTCCGTCCTCAGATCTGGGGCAGCCTTCCAAGCCCAGCTGGGCTGGGGCAACAGGAAGATGAGCAGAAGCCCCTTGTCAGCGAGGACATGGAGACCTGGCAGCTGCCTGGAATTTTCTTCCAAGGCTGATGGGGTCTAACACTCAGGAAGTCCATGAGAACTGTTTCTTTTGGAGTCGTGGAACAAATTGCTTTGAAAATAAGAAGCTTTTCTCTAAAAAGGCATTCCCCTCTAGTGTCCTGCGTGAATTCAGTTTAATGTGATATAAATGTGTATGATTATGAGCCTCTTTTGGCTGATTTCTGCCATCTTGAGGAATTTGACCTTTAAAGACTTTTTCTGAATATAATTGGTGTTGCTATTGTCTTTCATCTCCTCCACCTGAAAGGAAAAATAGCTATTTGGGAAAGGCCCATTCATAAAGGTTTCTACAGTCAGCCTTCACATGTCTTGTATTCTTGCAGAAGGTATGGTTGTGTTTTCTATCCTATGAGCAGCCTTTCTCCTGGTGGTTCCTATGCACAGACTTGAGTGGTATTTTGTAATGTGCTAGATTCTCACTTGAAAAAAAATCTGGCTTATTTTTGTCTGTAGCATTTGTTTGGTTTGTTGGTTTGATTGTTAACCTTGAAGTGATTTTCAGAATAATTTTTCATGCTTGAGATTTTCTGTATCTATATTCTGTATGGATATCTGTATTTCTGTATATATATTCTATTTCTATATCTATATTTCAGTATCTGTATCCGTTGATACTTCAAATCTATTTATTTTCCCTTATATTATTATCCATCTATATTTAGTCATCAGTTGGTAACTATTTTTAAAGTTAACAGATGTATCTCATTTTTTCTGCCTTTGTTTTTCCCTTTTCCAGTAAACTGATTTCAAAGCCACCTGAAGATTTCCCTAGATAGGTGAAAGACTTGTCTTTGTTTGCCATTTTATGTCGAGCCTACTCTCCACTTGATAGCTTTCTTTCAGGATAGGAGTAATTTCACTCTTTGCCAGGTATTTCCTGTATGTCAGAAACTAGGGTAAGCATTTAGAAACCAGCCTGTGATCCCCACCGCAGTGCTGTTAAACGTACTCGGCCAAGTCTCCCGTGGCAGTGCGGGGATTCTGATCCACTTTACCAGGTTCACTCCGGGACCCATCCTCTGGATGAGTACTCTGTCTCCCACAGGGTGCAGAAGACCTGGGGTGTCCTGGGGCACCCGTCCCTGGCACCTGGGTGGCTCCCGTTTCTCAGTGTGGTGTGGGCACGGCAGAGTGGGTCTCAGTTTCTGCACCTTGCCGTGGCTCTTTCACACTGCCGTTTGACACTCCCACGTGGTGAGGCGTTTGGAGGTTGCGGTTTCACTTTGCTCCCTGGCTCCGAACATCAGCAATGAGTCAAAACTAACCAGACGGGACAGGTGAGAATGTGGTTGGACTATGCCTTTCTGGTCAACATGTATTTCAAGAGAAGTTATCCCTATGGCAGACTCCTTAGAATCATCCTGCTCTGTAGGCAGAGGGTATGCAAGGAGGGCAGGAGTAAGAGAACCCTTGTAAAAGGGCAGGGGCAGAAATGTCCGCAGGGACAAAAGGCTGAGTTTTCCAAAGCTGTCCTTCCTTGCCCTTGACCCTGAGCCACCGACTGGCACCAAAGTCTGCTTGGATTTACTTTAGTACATGTCACGTTGTTAACACAAAAAACCTGAAGTCAGTTTCCTGTGCAGTTCAAGGAATCAAACACAGATTTGCTCAAATGAAGTCACTTTCTTCCTTCTGGACTGAAACCACAGGAGACACTGTTCTGTGATACAAGCACTATTGATACCCCATCTGTCAGAAATACCAGTGGGTTCCGGGCATCAGTTAGCACAGAAGAATCAGCAAACCAAAGGAGGGCCTTCGGGTGGAGGCTTCAGAGTTGGTACTAGGACCAGGCTGGTGTATGTACCGCCGGCTTGCAGTGTCTGACTCAGAGTCCTGTCAGAGTCCCACAAAGACAGATAAGCTTTAGATTTTAGTCATTTATTTAGGGTAGCTTAGTTAACTTCTCTAAGGGATAATGTGAGTGCATTAAAAATGATCTGTGAGTAATAGAACTTTTATCGGGAAACAGAGTGGAGTTAACAGTGATGGCATGACAGTGCCCAGGGTAGAGCTGTGGGATGGGGTCCAGGATGGGTCTGGAGGAGACAAGTGTCGGGCAGTCACCAGGCAGAGGAGAAAATAAGCTGTTTTTCACTCTGTTGTGGAACTGGAAATCTTACTATTTGATAGAGCCTGTCTTGTGCAGTATCACAAATATGTATTTCAGACAACTGCTAAACTGTTGGGAATATCTGAGATGAAAGGAATGATTTTAAATTATACTTCGTGTGTGGGTGTGCATGCATGTGTGTGCTGGAGATCAAACTCCAAGTCTTGTGTGTATAAGACAGACACGGCCACTGAATAGTATTCCCACCCTACTCCCTCTTTTGTTAAACAAACAACAAAAAAGCTTGAACACTGGATGATTTTAAAAGAATAAAAACAAACACAGTCCTTTAGACCTTTAGTTCTAAGTTTTGTATTTAGTCATCAGTTGGTAACTGATTTTAATGTCAACAGATGAGTCTCATTTTTTCTGCCTTTGTTTTTCCCTTTCCACAGTAAGTTGATTTTACAATAAATATTCAGTAAAATAAGATGAGGCTCTAAAACCCTGAGATTGTTCAAATCAAATGTAGAAAAGAGATCTTAAGGACTTTAAAAAGTGAAGTGTGTAAAGATCTGACATCTTTCCTATGGGGTGACAGCACTTTTTCTATATGAACCCAGCAGGGCAGAACCAGGACCCGTAGGTAGTAGCTCCAGTAAAATAAATGCTGAACATTGTCTAGTTACTTTCTGACATTCAGGGCAATTTAAAATTTAGTTAGGTTTATATTCAAAGAAAAATTATAGATAATTATAACAATAGGAAATGGATTATTGTTTAAAAAACACCTATACTATTTATAGCAGCATCAGAAACACAGAAATCAGATACATCGGAATAAATTTAACAAAAGATACGCAAGATTTTTAATGAAAATTACAAAACAGTAGTTATTAAACAAGACTCACAACAATAGAGGTTTATACAGTATTTATGCATTTAAGACAATACTGTGAATTCTGTCACTTTATCTGTATTCAGCAAGAAACAATCAGAATTTCAGCATTTTTTTAAAACCAAATTTTAAAATATATACAAAAATGAAAAGAAGCAAGACTAGTTCAGATAGTCTTAAGGAAGACCAGTACCACAGATACCAGGACACTGAATTCACATTAGTAAGAAAGGAGGTAGAAAGACCATGGACCAAAATAGAAAATCTGGGAAATCCCTGATTTATGGCTCTATCAAGACCTACGTTACATTACAGTGGGGAAGGAAATTGTGGTCGAGCAATTAGGAGCTTTTTCCATGTGGAAAAAGCAGTAGTATAGATTTTTACTTCATAGGCATACAGAAAAAAATATTGCAAAGAGATTGAGGATCTAAAGGTGAGAAGTAGGCCGTAAGGTATTTAGAGAAAACCAGAGTAGGTGCTTTCCATGACTTTGAGATAAGCAGTTATTCCTTTGGCAAATAAAACACCATGAAAGGGAAAATTATAAATTAAACATAGTTAAGAACTTACATTTTTTGAAAGACCGTAATAAGAGGTTTAAAAGGAAGACAAAGCAGGATAGAGATTTATAATATGTATTCCAACAAAGGACTCATTCAGAATATATTTAGGTAACATCTATAAATCAGCCTGAAAAAGATAAGAAAACCTAGGGGAAAATGGACCAGTGTGTACTACCCAAGAGAGTCTTAATACGATGTAAACATGGGAAACAGTTGTAAATGTCAGTAATCATCAAATACAATTGTAACGACAGTGTGTATCACTGTGCAACCCTGTAATGGTTAAAGTGAAGAAGATACACAAGGCATTCGTGAGATCATGCAGCAGTGGAGCTCATAGGCTGCAGGTGAGTGTACATCACACAATGATCTTAGAAAGCTGAGGATTTGCTGTAACTTACTGCATGCACACACTATGACCTCAAAGCATTGCACTTCAGTTCTTAATGACACAGAAGTGTGTACATATGTTCACAAAACAAGGCCTGCACAGTGGCGTCTTCAGTAGCGTTGTTGGTCACATCGAAAATGAAAAACAGCTCTAGTGTCCATCAGCTTCAAATTGACCGTTAAGTATTGCAGCCATGAGAAACCACAAGGCAAAGAGAAAGTGAACAAGAGCTAACCTGCAGGCAGACACAGGAGCCGATACCAGCATTTCCACTTAAACACTCTTCCCAAAATGAAGAAGAAACGGTGGTATGGGAAGGGAAGTGGCCGCCCTGGATGAAAGGAGTGTGGCTGGAAGGACGTGCTGACTGTGTCTTAGTTTTGTCCTAGTTGAATTTTTATTAGTCCGTGTTTGTGGTTTGTAATGTCATGTTCATAGTAATGCGCAGAACACACCCTGACTCCTTTTAGGTCCTCTTCTCCTCTTTCCCTATCTTCCATCTTTTGTTTCTTTCTCATTTGCAAAAGATCTAACTTCCTATTTCCTGCTATCTATTTTTTATTTTGCTCTTTATTTGTATTTAAGTTTCTCAAATGAGACAAACCCTGTGATGTTTAAGCCTGTGCGTCTGATTTATTTTCAGTTAGCAGTGTGACCTCAAAGCAACTCCATTTTCTTAACTCAAATTTACCTTTCTTTATAGCAGTGTAGTTTGATCCAGTCATTGGTTCCCTAAGTATGTTCACTTAGGAAGATTCAAGAACAATTTCTGTAATCTTATTTTTTAAGAAAAGAAAAAAGTCTTACTTGACTATCTTCTTAGAGATGCAGAAGCCTGACCTATGTAGCCCCTTGGCAAGGATTTGCGGTGGAGGTGAAGCGCCCTGTAGCCCAGCTGTGGGGAGGGGGGGGAAGTGCAGAGCAGGTGCCTTTCCTCTGCAGGGCTTTGAGGAAGTGGTTTTCAGAAAAGGTTTCTGTTCTAGAGAATCACGAGGACACCATCCCTGACAAACTCTTAAAGAGTCCCAAGACAAAGTCATTTGCTAAACAGTGACTAGGAATTTTCGTTTTAGGAAGGCAGCAGCAAACCAGATTAGTGTTCTGAAATCTAGCACATAAATAGAATATTCTGTAGTTTTAATTTTGATCTTCACCAATAGTGACAAACCATGTGTCTTTCTGCTGTTTGATTTCTATTACAATAATTTATCTCCTGCACTGGCTGTTTAAAAAGTCAGTATGCTTAGTAAGTTGGAAAGAACACACCAAGGCTGAGATGAAAAGGGAGAAAAGAGAGAAGAACGTGTAGTAACCACGTCTTGTGCTCCCTCGTGGCACTTAAACATGCAAATTGGCAACTGTTCCCTTTAGGCCATCCAGAGTAGAAAGCAGAACAAATAGTTTCCTAAGGTGAGAGTTACTTTCTTTGCCTCTACACCTGTGAGGCACATTTGTTATCTGAAGCATCTAAGGTCAACACTGAGCCACAGAATGCAGGGTGTGTTTAGTAGTGAGCACTGCACCAAGTGTATGCAAAGGACAATGTAATCATCAGGGGACTACGATGTTGGAGGCAGCTGTGTTCCGTGTTCCAGCTGCCCCGTTCCCTCAGTCCTCATTTTCTGGGGGAAACGCATGGCATGTAGAACATTTTGCTGCTTCTCAGGGAGTGAATTCTTCTTTGCTTCCATTGATCAGGTGCCCGGGAGGAGCCCACCGTGCCGCAGGCGCAGCGTCGGTCAGCTGTGTTTCTGTCCTTCAAGTCCCCGATTCCGTGTCTGCCCTTGCGCTGGGAGCAGCAAAGCAAACTGCTTCCCACTGTCGCCGGAATCCCTGCCAGCAGAGTGTCCAAGTGGAGCACAGATGAGGTACAGGGGCATGCACACGTATCACTTCTTCTTTTTTTATCTATCAGGTATCGGATAGAGTAGCATTGGATTAAAAGAGAGTGTAGGTAGGGTTTAGCTGACTTTGTTTTTTATTTTTTTCCTTCTGAAAGAGCTGAAATTACTGTGAGAGAGGCTAAATGTGTTGACCATGCAGCATTTAGCAGATTCTGGTTTTTCTCTTAAACTGAAAGTTTTGGTGTTGTTTTTGACAGGTGTCAGAATTCATACAGAGCTTGCCTGGCTGTGAAGAACACGGGAAGGTATTTAAGGATGAAGTAAGTGCTCACTACAGTGCAGTATATTACTTAATGAGGTCTGAGCCCTGAGGGGTAGAGGAGGGGCCAGGTGCTGAATTGGCACCCCTCGGGCAGGGTGTAGGGTGTGTTAAAGTTGAGGAACTGATGCATAGTTGTTTAATACACAGCATTAATCAGTTGTGAAAAACGTCTGGGGAGAAGGTGAGAGCCAGAGAAATATTTGTAAGTTCTATTTTCTGATCATTAGACTCACTATGAAAACCCCAACAAAATTTAAATAGCATGCACTTAGACCATTCATAACATAGGGGAAAAAAACAAAGAAATAAGCAGCATTATTTTATTTTAAAACCTAACAATATCAAGATGAACTCATTTTGATGCTTATAATAAATAGCATTATTCTTGCTGAAAACAGTCCCTGGGATCTTGCACATTTCTAAGTAATATGTGTAATTTGTGATCAAAACATAAAGTGAAAGATTACTTTTAAAACTTTAAAAGATAGAGCAACCTCATTGTACTCAAGATGCAGTTTATGCTTTTCCTGGGTGTATGGTAAAATGCACAAGGATCTAACTTTTAACATCCCTTTTCTGATGTAGTTTTACTGCAGAAATGCCATGTTTTCTTTTGAGATGATCTTTGATTGCCAGTTATTCAGATTTCTAATTGTTTTGTTTTGTTTTGTTTTGTTTTATACTGGGGATGGGACTCACGACCTTGTGCTTGCCAGGCAGGCGCCTATGCCACTGAGCTAAATCCCCAACCCTAGATTTTGAGTTTCTTTCCCTGACTCCTGAGTGCCTGCCTAGACTCATCTCAGTGAACTTTGTATCGCTAAATAGACTTAGACCCATGCCACAGCTGCCATTCTTTCTTTGAGGCGTCACTGCTTTTGGAAATGATAAGATTTTGGAAGTACATTTCTAGTCTGTTTTATAAACTCTACTTGTCTGTTGACAGCCAGGTGATCCATATAGGTCTGCTTCATTATGTAATAAAGATTCAAGTTCAAAATAATGTGACATTTATTTTCTTTCTTTTTTTATTTTTATTTTTTTCTTTAGTTGGTATTAGGGTTTGAACCCTGAGGCTCCATACTGAGCTACAATCCACCAGACCTTTTAATTAATTAATTTTTTGAAACAGAATCTCAGTAAGTTGCCCAGAGTGCACTCAAACTTGCAGTTTTCCCTGTCTCAGCCTCCTAAGAAGCTAGGATTGTAAGTACACACCATCATGCACCACTGTGGTCTTTCTTTGAATAATGTTTTTATTCATGGCATGTAAAAAATCCAAAAGAAATTCAAATACTTGGAACATACAGTGCCGCAGGACATTGGTACCCATTCCAAAAAGGAAGAGCAGGAGGATGGGAAGAATGGGACCAAAGCAATCCTGAAATCCAGCAGGCAAACATTAAATCCTGTAGCTCCATGTCCAATACCCAGGACCAGTTTAGTGAGGTGTGAACTGCAGATGCCTTTTGTGATCCCATCCTGATGGTCCTCTCTTGGGAAGGCTCACTCACTGCCTTCCTTGGCAGACATTGGACACTCCTGACATCTCCAACATTCTGCGGTCTCCACTGTACTTCTGGCTTCATGCTCACAGCTTCACATAGTGCCCTTTTGGGGCACACTTCCGGGCCTTCCAAGTCTTCTGAAGTCTGAGTGAAAGCCTTCCTGACCTTACAACTTTTGCATTCTGCATGTACTTAAAACCAGCACCATGTGATTGAGGCCAAGTCACTGGCTTGATCAGTAGCCAGACCACCTTGGACCATGGCTGCAGAGGCCTCTGAGAGCTTACCTAGCTTAACACTGTGAACCAAATCCTAGGAAACCACTACCCTAACCAGCTCTTTTCAAGGAGCGTCCCCTGGAGTTCTTCTCAAAGCAAAGTTTTTCACATTGGCACCCTCAAGCCCACAAAGTCTTCCTGGTTTCTCAAATGACCTCAAGGGATCATATCTTTCTTACTGTTCTGATGTAAAGTACTTGGCTTCTTTTCAGTGCTGACTGTTTCAGCAATCAAGCTCTGTTCTGCTCCAATTTTACAGGTCCTATTTTTCTGGCAAATCTGAATACTTTTTAAATGGGCCTTTTGCACTTGTTTCTCATTGTGAATATTGCTAAGCAGTACCCTTACCACAGCTTGAACACGGGGCTGTTTTGAAATTTCTTCTGCCAAATTAATTGCTTAGCCACACTTAACCTCAGTCTCCCCCAAAAATCTCAGGACATTAGAAAAACAGCCAAATTTTCTTTTTTTTTAATTAATTTTTTAATGAATAAAGATGAGCTTGAGATAAAAGAGGACATAGCAACATAACAATATAGGTCAAAGCATGACAGTTTCAGCAACCTAGTGCTTCACCACCAAATAACCCGACTTAATAGTAGTTACCATAGTGTCTTTTTCCTTGAAGTATTTGAATATAACTTCGTATACTATAGCATCAGAAATATCAAGACAGTGTGAAACCTTTCAAGTGAATGAAAGTATTACAGGGTATTTAGAACCAGCTAACAGAAAATGAACAATGGTTTCTATATTATCTCTTTGCCTATAAAAATTTTTGTTTATACTATCACATATAATAAAATCCAGTAAGATACAACATGATAAAACCAGTGGAGACAGAAGAGCAACAGTTTGGTAGGGCTTCAAAACAAGATGATATTAAATCAGCACTAGCTATTATGATGTCTTGTTTTCTTCAAAATAGCTGTTTATTTCATCACAGGCAATAATATCAAGCAGCCCAGAATAAAGCCATTCCAATTAATGACTGAAAGCTTTATAAGGCTTCAAGGCCACATAATGGGGAATCATGATTACCACATACTTTTATATATTTAAATCCTTTCTTACACTAGGGAAACTATTCGGTATTCACACATGTGAGTTTGATTTATTTCACTTATGAGTATGGTCTCAAGCTGCACCCATTTATTTATAAATATCTCAGTGTGATCCTTCTTTATAGCTGAGTAGAACTCCATCGTTGCCTCTAGTCCAGCTGCTAATGGGGTCTTTGTTTCCAACTGAAACTTCCTGAGTCTGGTCTTTACCATCTGCATTTTCACTAACATTCTGATCTTTTGGAGAGCAATTAGAATCTTCCATTAAACTCAGCTGACAGTATTCTAGGGCTGTATCTACAAATCTTCCCAAACTCCTCCCATGAACCACTTCTTAAGGTTTCTTAAAAGCTCCTGTGTTCACAGCAGCAACCAAATCTGTGTTAATCACATTGTTATCACTGGGCACAATACCCAACACTCACAGCTTAAGGGAAAAAATTTATTTTGGCCCCTGTTTTCAGTCTGTAGTCCATTGGCTCCAAGGCAGGACAGCATAGCAGAGGAGCATAGTTAAGGAAAATTTGCTCATGTACTGGCAGTTAGGAAGCAGAGAGAAAAAGGAGGACCCTGGGAGGGAGCTGCACCCTTCCAGGTCACTTCCTCCCCTGACAGGCCCTGCCGCCTAACAAGAAGTCAGGTATTGCACCGCCATGGTCCATGCCTCTTCCAGAAGCTCTCCTCTTGAGCATATGAGGCTCCGGAGGGGGCAGCTAGATTAAAGCTGTAACATGGCTGTTGTCTTTGGGGACTCTTTCCAGGTACCACGCTTCCTCCAAGCCAGATCTTTTCTTGGAGGAGGGGGACAGTTAATATTCTCTGTCCAAATGTATCGTGCATGCATATGTCTGTTCACTCCTTTATTCACACATCTGGTGGATGTTTGCTAAATTCCTACCTTGTGAATGTTACAGTGAAATGCTTTGATGAGCAAGATGCTTAAAAGTCATAAAACAGAATTCTTGCCTAGGATTACCTAGGATTGTCTCACATAATCAGTGGGTATTGGTTCCAGTCCTAGAAGTAAATCATAACATAGTTAAAGTCTTACAAGCCATCTCTAAAAGGGAAAGTAGATATATTAGGGTCAGCTGTTGTTGGAAATCATCCTTACCTCTTGTTTTCCACAGTGCAGATCCTGTTGAGTATATTTGTAACACATGAAGAGTCTCACTGAACCTTCATCACTTACGTATTAGTGTGAGCGTCGTCTCTCTCCTGAATTCATGCAGTTTTTACTGCTCTGCACTCCTAGCTCAGTCCAGGGGATGCTGCTACAATTAAAGTCGGATCACACCCCACCTCTGTCCAGCTCCTTCCAGAACATTCATACCTAATAGTAAAAGCCAGAGTCTTGGCAGCCAGTCTGACCTTTCCTTCCCTCTGTTGCCTCCTGGTTCCCTTTCACACTGTCCCTTGCAGTTCTGCCCAGCCTCCTCCATCCTCCAGCTGTCCCCATTGTCCCGCCTGCTCCAGCTTTTCCCTGTTTATAGTGCTCGCCCTCTGGGAGGTCACATGACTCGCTCTGCTCAGATGCCAACATTTTGGTTAGTCCTCCCCTGACTGTCCTACTCCAAAAGTGCCATCCACTGCCACATGTGCCCGATCCTCTCCCCTATCGGCTGTTTTCTCATAACACTTATCACCTTCCAGCTTAATAATTAATTTGTTTGCTTGTTGCTTGTGGTCTTCCAGCTCCCAGAATGTGAACTCTGTGGAGGTTTTGCTTGCTTACCCATTAGCTTACTTGCGTTTTACTGCTATTGCTGTGTGCGTGGGCCCTTGAGAGAATTTGGAATAGAATATTTAGTACATTTCTATTGAGTGAATATATTCATGCACTTGCACTCTGAGAAAGAGTGTGTCACTGGGACTTAAGAGTTTGAGCATTGGAAGACAGCGTGAGACCACAGGAGGAGGGGCGGGGGAATTGAAAAAGGGGACACTGAACTGCAAATCCCTTTCCCTACTTTCGGGCCTTAAGCAAGATAGTAAGTTCAAAAAAAAAAAGATAGTAAGTTCAAGAAGTAAGCTCAGAATGCACTGCCAGGATCACAGTTCTTAAAATGCACACTTTCTTCCGTCAAGCTCTCCTCCTTCCTGTTGAGGCTCGTCTTGTGACCGTGCATCTGACCGGCTTGCCTACACAGAGTTTCCCCCTATCTTCTAGATATATTTTTTTCTTTGCAGTATAATCTTATGAATAATGATCTGTCAGACCTTAACCTTTGGCCCCATTCTTCAAATCTCAGCCTCTCAGTTCCTGGATGTTCCATTCTCTGGTTACTTGTCACCTGCGCTGTTCTGTGTTGTCGGAGAAGACCTGGTGGCTGCTGCAGGCTTGGGCAGGCTCCGCATCTGTAAGGAGCCCATAAATCTCTGTAGTCCACCCTTTGGATACCAGTGTGTAGGGCGACATCTTCGTTAAGGCCTTCCACGGCCACTCTCAGCCTCTGCCTGCGCTTGAAGTCTGTCTGGGGTGGGAACATGTTAGCAGCTCTCTTCCTCCTGCTTCCACTCTGTCAGGAGAGGGCTGGCACAGCTCAGGCAAATGAGACCAGACGGGTGTCTCCGAACACCAGTCACCTCACACCTGCCACAGGGTCAGCTTAGCTTTCTCTAGCTTACTGTAGCAGCTGCCTGTACTGAAATCAGCAGAATTTTTCCTATATAGTTATTATTTGAAGTTCAGCAAGAGTCTAGTTGTTAACGATAAAGTAGACTATTTAGGGAATTTAGATTGTAGAGGTTTATTTTTTAAATTTTCAGAAGAAAAGAAGATATTAAGAAAGAAGTACTTAAGAGACAGGCATGGCGATACACACCTGTAATCCCAGCGCTCAGGAGGCCGAGGCAAGAGGTTCATTGTGAGTTCGAGACCAACTTGGGCTCAAGGCCAGCCTGAACTGCATGGAAAGACCCTGTCTCTAAAAGACAAAAAAAAGACCCAAAAAAACGTACTTAACTGTCAGCCTTTTATTTAGTGAACTCTGCAGCGTTCGGTGTTTTATTAGATTTTAGGGCTGCCGTAACAAATGCAAATCAGTGGTCTAAACTGAAGGTTTCCTGTCTTACAGTTCTGGACACTAGAAATCTAAAGGCCAAGGCTTGGGCTGGCTTACTTCCTTCTGGGGACTCTGAGGAAATAATCTGTTCAGGCCTCTCCCCTCGATGTAGAGATGGTATCCCCCTTGTCTTCCCTCTTGGTGTGTCTGTATCCGAATTTCCCCTTTTCTTTCTGTGGACACCAGTCATTTTGAACTAGGGGTCCACCCTGCTCCATGGTGGCTGCACCTTAAATTGCATAGGCAGTGACCTATTTACAAATAAGATGACATTGTAAGGAGCTGTGGAAGTTAGACACTGGCACATTAATTTGCAGGGGACCATTCAATCCCGTAACATACTACGTTGCTGTCACAGTTTCTGATGAAACAGAAAATAAATGTATGGTTTACTTTTTGTGGAAAGTGGGAAGACCCAAAAGGAAGTGTGTCTCAAGGCCTCGAGCTCCCCAAGAGCTGAAACACTCTCTCTCTCTCTCTCTCTCTCTCTCTCTCTCTCTCTCTCTTTCACACACACAGAAAAGCTCTGTCATTATTCGCAGCTACCAAACCAGACATCATCTCCTCAGTGCTGTCTTTGAGCCTCGAAGTCCTCCACTGTAGAAGCACAGACTTTTTGTCATAGGAGAGGCCAAGGTATAACTTTGCAAATCATGGTAACAGAGGAGTTTGTGCTCTTAAAACTGCCTCACATTCTTCCTAGTGTGCTGTGCATTGCTTTTCTTCTATATCTGGAAGCTAAGTGTGGCTTTGCTGGAAATAAACATCTTCCTAAAAGGCTAATTTTAAAAATTGGTTAGCATGGAGCTGATGGGTCACCTGTATTCTCCTGGTTATGTTAATAGGTTATTTGTTTGTCTTTTCTTTTCTCTCTCTCTCTTTTTTTTTTTTAATTTTTTTTTTTCCTCCAGTACCGGGGATCGAACTCACGACCGCCTGCTTGCAAGGCAGGTGCTTATGCCGCTGAGCTAAATCCCCAGTCCCATTGTTTGTCTTTTCTAATTTAAAAACCTACCGTGCTGTGAAGTAGATTGGGAAATCCTAGATTTTTCCGTTTTCTTCTTAATTCAGTACCTAATTCATTAGTGATCCTAGGAAACACAGGTATTTCCCATTTTCCAGGGGACCGAGCCTCAGTGCATAGGCAGGTTGCTGTTTTAGATAAGACCACCGCTGCATGTCTTTGGAAGACGCTGGACTCTTGAACACCACCGTGTACCTTCTTAGTCACTGAGCAGAAGTCAGCTGACTGTTTGACAGTGGGTATTTACCACACCACCACCTCCAGCTAATTCACATTCTTTTGTTTCTTCCCTGTTTTAGCAAATTGACGGAGAAGCATTTCTACTTATGACCCAAACAGACATTGTTAAAATTATGAGCATTAAGCTGGGCCCTGCTCTCAAAATTTTCAATTCTATTCTGATGTTCAAGGCCGCAGAGAAGAATTCTCACAATGAACTTTGAAGATGGTGGACTCCGAGTTCCATCGGCTTTCTGCTTTACAGCTCATGTTTTATTCAAAGCACAAGGACGGTTATAACTCTTAAATGAGAAGTCTGCAAAACTCAAAAGAGCAACACTATCGGATTATTTATATTCCTCAAAGAGACAATATATATGAATTCTTAAGAAAGTGCGTGAGCTTTTAACCAGGTACTGTCTAAAAACAGTCATCTTTTGGTTCTGTTCACTGAGCTAAATTTATCTTTGTAAATCTTTTTGTGGCTGGGGGGTGGGGAAAGGGATCCTCATTAATTATTTATGGACAAGGGAGGGGCAGAGTAAGAACTTTCGGCATTTTGTAAACATTGTTGAATTCTCTTTCATGTACACTCTTTCTTTTTCAGTACTTTCGGGAAACCTTTTTATATAATTGAATTTAAACGTAAAACCAAATTAGTCAAAGCCTGGCAAGTTTAGCCGGCAGGACTGTTACCTGTATTGTTCATTTTGTGCCATATTCTGAATTGCAACATTATGCTAAGTATAACTTTGCAAGTCATGATACTGCCCAGCTGCTGGTCATTGTTTGATGGGGCTGAACAGTTGCAAAACTTACTTTTCTTTGAATCAGTGTTTTTACTTTTGCACGCATTATGAAATGTTAAACAGATTACTTTTCACCAGCATCTTTACTATAATTACCAAAAACATGTATATAAAAGAATGGAATTGAAAAATAAAATCTATCAGCATAAATAAACTAGGTAGTATGTATGAGTGGCATCAGTCTTGCGCGCTGTGCTCTGGATTACCAGTCTGAGGGCATTGGGGGAGGGCGTGGTCACATTCAGGGTGCAGGTGAGGTTGGGGGGTCTAAGGATCTTGAACTCTGTGTGGGATTATCTTGAGCTTTTCTCTCATGGACATGGAGGTAACTGGTGCTTTTCAGGGATGAAGGGTTCATTCATCGGTAAGGAGCCGTCTCCAGTCTGTAAGGAGCCATCTCCAATCTTGCAGTAAGGTTTTCTTCAGGGTTGGTTGAAGGAGGAAAGCATGGGTTTACCGAAGAGGGAAGGTGGTAGGGAGTGGGAGCAGCACACGTGGAGTTTGCAGAGTTCTCGGTACTCATAGACGAGGCACCTGCATCCCAAAGCAGCTTCCCCGGGCTCCTCCATGCCGGAGCGGTCGCTTGTCTTTAGAGTACTTCACCTGGATACCTGAGCATTCGGAAGCACTTTTCACGGAGACCCTTTGATTACCTGTCAGCTGACAGCTGGCAGTGTTTGTTTTATAAAAAGTATTTCTAAGGGAAAAGCTATTCTGTCGGTCTCACGATCTACTTTCTAATTGCAGGGCCAGGCATTTATTGAAGGACTGTTTTAAAAACAGACACTCAGTTTGCAGCTGTCTGAAGTCTGGGCAGCGTCCCACACTGTGTTGCCCTGTTTTCCCTGGCTTAGGACTCCTGTCATGTGCCAGTTTGGGAGTGTGTGAGTGGTCATTTGTACCTGGCGTGATTCAGGGTAGAAAGGCTCAGCGACGGCAGGATCCCCTTCATTTCTTTGTGTAATCTGCTAATTAAGGTTTGCCTTGTTGTCCACTGCCCCCTTTTATATTTTGTTCAGAATTTAACATACATTCAGGTTGCATTTGTTATATCTGATATGAATGAAATAAAGTTTTCGTTACAGATCCTTTTTTACATATGTATTATTTTTAAGGAAGTTCCTCAAATAGGAGAGGTGGAATAAACACAGAACTGAAGTCTCAAGCGTAGTAGAAGGTCTGTGGATGTAGCTCCATGGTGGAGCTCTTGGCTACCATGCATGAGGCCCTCATTTGATTCCTGACATAGAAAAGGAAGATAACTACTACCTAGTATATCTATAAGATTTCCCATTGTTTATCAAACCATATGCCAAGAAAATGAGACAGGATTTTCAAAAATTATATTGTTAGGTCAAGTTGGGTTCATCCACATGGGAATTTTTCCTTTCCAGTTTATATCTTTTGTTTTGATTTGTTTTTGGTTTTTTTTGAGACAGAGTCTTGCTATGTAGTTCAGGCTGACCTTCAGCTCACTCTGTAGCCCAGGCTGTTCTCAAACTTACACCGATTCTCCTGCCTCAGCCTAGCAAGTGCTGGGATGACAGGCGTGCACCAACATGCCTGGCTTCCTTTCCAGTTTAAAGCATGTGTTGCAATGAAAAGACTTTTAAATCTTCCTGGAAACCCATACATCCAGCAACATGTGCTCGTAAGTTAGAGGCAAGGCATTGGACATCCTTAGGGTGACGTAAGGTTGTGTAGACCTGGGGGGGGGGGGCTTTTTTCCATTCTACTTCTAGGATGTAATCCATTTTAAAGGAGAAAAGAGAGGGAGTCTCGATACTAAGGAAGCCTCCGAAATAAGAGAAGCAGGCTTGGGGTAACACAGAAGGGAAGAGTGGAAACAATGGACCTTGCATCTAAAAGGCGCTTTTAAATATTTTTAAGTCACTGTACAAGCCAAGAGGGTTAGTATTCGTCACAGCCTGCCACTTACCATGTGCACATTCAGTAGACAAGACCCACAGCAAACAGGGAATGTCAGGTAGTACTGAATATTTACCAAGTGACAACACAAGCCAAGTGCTAGGGTCAGATGCATGATTGGAAAGCGAGGAAACAGACAGGAACCTGCCCTGTTGGTCAGCTCAAGTCCATCGTGTCTGGGAACTGAGATCTCGCTGCAGTGTCTGTGCAGCACCGTGCAGACCCCTTCCCATGCCCCACGTAGGAGTGCTGTCACTCAGCTCCATGGCGATGATATGCCTGGAAGGACAGGGGGCTGAGAACCGATGGAGAGCACTGGGGACAGCATGATGAAGACACTGCAGAATTAGATTTTGCCTGCCTGGCAAGTGCAAGATTGTGAGTTCAATCTCTGATACTGACAAAAAACAAAAAGCTATTGGAGGAGGATAATTTGCGAAAAATAAGGGGATAGTTTATAAGGAAGGAACTTTAGATTTTACTGAAAAGGAAGAAAGCGAGATAGGGACTGCTTTATGGAAAACTCACATGTGACCCGTTTCCTTTTATTGGCCTGCCCATTCCGGTGTACGTGGTGAGTGAGTGGCCCTTGTAGACCTGGGCAGCCCATCTCTCATTTCCTTTTGCCTCACCAACTAAACCCTTACAGAAGGAAAGGCAGATTGTCATTATGTCCGTGGTAAAATACGTATTTTATGAGAGTTCCAGAGATGTGTATTATAAAAATATCTCTTCGATAATTCATATTCTTTCTTTTTAAACTTTTTTAGTTCATTTGATGAAATAACCTGGGAAATGTACATCCCAGTTTCTTTTCAGTCTCCAAAATCACCGTTGCCTTGTTGAGAATTAGTAAGCAACGTGGATATTTTCGTGATGATACCAAAAGGGGCACCTTCAACACCTCCAAACTGTAGTTTTGATCATTTTCCTCCTGAAATACCTGTAAGAGTGAGAATGCACTGAGTCTTGTTAAGGCCTGAAAGGATTTGAAGGTAATGACTTTTAAAAAGGAAAGCATTGGGCTGGGCAATTAGCTCAGCGGCATAAGTGCCTGCCTTGTAAGTGTGCGGTTGTGAGTTTGATTCCCGGTACCGATTTAAAAAAAAAAAAAAGGCATTCTTGAATATATACTTTCATCATGGAATTTCTAAGACCACAAGTCAAAATGAATAAAGAACACTTCCATGATATTTATTACAGAATTTCACAAAGACCTCAAGGAAATGTAAAGACAGAAGAAGCTGAAATTCATCAGCATCTTCAATACATGATCGTTTGCTAATACCTACCTCTGTCCGAACCCTAAAGTAAAATGGTGTCACACCTCCATGGCCCCACAGGTGACTTTTGGTGTAGTATTTGGCATGCTGTTAAGTGATGGGGCTGAAATCCTACTTCCTTTTCCTTTTCCTTCAAAGAAGGAAAATAGGGACATGCACATCAAAGATGAGCATCTCCAGGAAATTGAAGGTTTGAGCCAGTCTTCATGGACACGCGATCCCAAATATATGAAAGGCAGCCACTAGAGCCACCAAGGCTGTGACAGTCATCCACCTTGGTGAGCTTCTCCTTGTCCAGGCATAAAGAAAATTCACAGACATCGATGTTGAAAGGGTTTTTCGACACGTGCTGGCATGCCTGCCAGCACAGGTGTGGACACTTGCATCTGGAAAGAGGAATGGTGTCACTACCCCATCATATGTAAAATATTGAGCAATAAGAGACCTCGGCATGGCAGTTCTGTTACAATACATGAGCTCGTGGCCCTTCAGCAGATTTGTATGACAAAGCATAATTCGTCATCTACTGCTGTCCTTTCAAATAAGTCCTATGACTTTTATAAACTGGCAAACCAGTGCCTATGAACGTGCTACGTGCCTTCTGATTCATGGCAACCAAAAGGCTGGGATTTTCCCCAGAAACATCTGGGAGGAGTAAACATGTGGCTGTGATCTTCATGTCTGTCAAAGAAAACACGTTTATAGGCCAAGGAAGAAGAGGTTTCAACAACCTTAGGCAAAGCTAATAATAAAACATCTAGGTTTTCTTGGCGGCAGTGGTGGTGGTTTGTCACAGCCTTTAGCAGGGAACCAGCTAGTCATCTCAGATGCGTGTTTCACAGCCTTTTAATGTCAGCATCCTAGGGCTAGGGATAAAGCTCAGCCGCACAAGTGCCTCCCTGCTAAGCACAGGGTTGTGAGTTCAATCCCTGGTACCCCCCACAAAAAATAAAACCAGCGTCTTCCAGGAAAACTCAACACCCCAAATCTGTCCACCAGGCCACTGCCAGAAGAAACAAGAGCTCTGTACTCTGTCCACTGAGATTATTCTGTGATGTTTCACCTTCTGATTTGATTTATCAAATTAACAGGTCACTACTTCCCCAATACAATGTGCTTTGGTATTCAGTGTCTACGGCTCTATGTCTCTCATTGGAAAAGTTCTTTATTCCTTTCCACCATTTACTTCACTGAATCTTATTACTGAAGCAGTGTTTTTCCATATCCTGAATCACACAGATAACCAGCGCGGCTCCCTGCTCCCCACATTTACCAACACTGCTGTGTGCCTTCATCCAGGCAGTGTCTCACTGTCTCGGGCAGCGCAGTGTTGATGGGATTGTCCACCACTGAAAAAGCAGCCAGTATGTCTTCTGAGTAGGATTCTAAGATATGCCTTGTTTTGTTATAAATAACTGTTCTTGTAAGGGGTTGGAATTCTCTGAACATCTGATAAGAAAGCAATAGATGAGGTTAGAAGAAAGTCTGCTAATTTTAACGTAAACAGATAAATGACTCGTTAGAATTACACTGAACTTTGAATGCCAGTTTAAAGATATTTTAGCAGCTTTAATGGATAAGTAAAAACTTGAGATGAAGGGGGAGAAAAGAATAAAAGCCTGAAATGAATAGAAAAAGATAAATAACAAACCTAGTAAAATTGTAAAAGTATAAAATTAAAACTTCGGGGAAGAGCTGTTCTGTTATATGGAATGAAGTGTTTTCCAGTTCTGGAATTAACAATAAAACCAACTAAGAATAAAAAATTTGGATGCAGACTCAGCTAAATGAGGACTCCAAGTATGTGTTCATGTGTTAGTCACTTGTGTTACCAAGCCAGGGTCCTAGGACCTTGCGTGTCTCCATGTGTGCCACTGTTACCTTTTGTCCAACAAGGGACAAAATAAGAAGCCTGTTAGGAAGCGGCCCTTACAGCTCTTGA